GCGAATGGACGAAAAACAAAGACGTTTTTCAAAAGAAAATGGCGAATTGTTCTGTAAAGTCTGTGGGGAAAATCGTTTGTTTTCAAGTTCACATAATTGCTTCACAGGTCTAGCTCTAAAAAAGTCATAAATTATTTTAATGTAGTTGTGTTTGACGTAACAAATAGAACAATAAAGATATTTGTTTTTCATAGAAAAAATTGTAGACTTTAAAAATTCAGATCCGCCATCTTTAAAAATGGAGGACTGCAATTTGCACCAAATATTTAGTCACCTTGCCTTAACATACGGGAAACAAATTAAACAATTGTGTATACAGGGTGTTTAAATTTACAAATTATCAGTTTCTTAACTCAACTGTTATCTTGTTCCCGCAGTTCGATGGAATACTACACTTATGATTTTGTTTTTTAATTTTTACATTCCATCCATTTAACAGCAAATAAAATAAGTCAGTCAAATGGGACAAAAAGACGCGGGGAGAGGGCTGGGAGTAGTTATATAGTGGGGCTTCTAGGCCAGGTCAACTGAGTTCGAACTGGTCCAGCAGTCTCATTACTTTTTATCGATCGATCATTGACCTCTGAGGTCTGTCATCGCCTTGTGCTGTATCGACCTGAGGCGTAGTAGCCCCACTACTTTTTATCGAATGTTTATTATTGTCTTGTCCTCTGTCGGGTACGGGTAGTATCATGCACAGCGATCGTCGGCACGTGTCGGGGACGGTCGTGCAAATTCGAGTACTATCCCCCCCATCTCTTTTGCGGTTATATAGATGTTGATTTACTCGTCCGTGATTTATTTAGTATCGTACTTTCAATTGTTTAGCAGATTGTAAAGTTGAAATGTCGTTTTCCATTTCTGACTTGTATAAAGAATCACATTGACAAGCTTTTGTGAGTGCAAAAACTTTGGAAGAGGATAGAAAATTTTTAATAAAAAATTTTAGTAAAAATCCTACAAAATACCGTCAAAATTTTGCATCGGGGATTAGATTTAAATTTGAATAGTGTTCGTTCCATAAAAGAAGCAATTAAGTTGTATGAAATAAGAAATGGACTGAACAAGATGAAGCTGGTTGTAGTCGACGTTCAAGGTTTTCATTTGCCCGAATTCATTGTAACAGAACTTGAATACATGAAACTTTCAAACCTACAAAACAATTCAAAGAATTGGATGGAAGCATCAAGAAACAAGCTAGATATCTCCAACGTTATCATCATACATATATTGAGATTTAATGACGAGGCCAAGGATCAGAAATCAGTTAAACAAATTTTGATCGAATACATCAAGGAACATGGGGTGAAAGGAAGAATTAAAGAAAATTATCTCATGTAAACGCTAGGAAAAGACTGTCCCAAAACTATGAATCTGGAAGCTATGGAAGACTTTGTGAAATTGGCTTAAAAAACTCTCAGCATCGTATATCTAATAATAAAAAATGTTTCTGTTCCTTAAACAATGCTAAAAATATTTACAATTGATATAGTTTATTGAAAAAAAAACTGTCAGGTGTGGGATTCGAACCCACTCTCCCTTTCGAGAATCAGAACTTGAAGCTAACGTCTTAGACCGGTCGGCCAATCCGACTACCGGACCTATTAACCTGTATGAGGTGACAGACAGGATAGAACTCGAGGCAGAACCCTCTCTGGAGTCAGGTCGACCGAGCACAAGGCGATGACCGATCTTAGAGGTCATTGATCGATCAATAAAAAGTAATGGGGCTGCTAAGCCTGTTTGACCCCAGTTGCCTTGGCCTAGAAGCCCCGCTATATAACTATTGTTGGGTTTAGCTTTTTTCTACAGGATCTTCATTCTAGTGACTACTATTGTTCAGTCTTACCTTAGAAAATACTAGCCCCACCCACCCGCCCTCGATTTTCATGGAAGGTACATCATTGGCCAAATCAGTATTATCTTAGCAAGTGCTAGCCCCGCCCTCCTTTTTTATGGAAGGTATATCATTTTCCAAAATCAGTCTTATCTTAACAAGTATTAGCCCCACCCACCCGTCCTTTGTTTTCTTAGAGAGTATATCTTTGACCAAAAGCAGCCTTACCATTTATGCGAATTTCGACCCATTTTCGTCCATTTTCCAAATTTGACTAAATGCATTTTCTTGTGGATTTCGGGCCGCAAAAGTCACTCTCGACCTCATTTTTTCAATAACTTCAACTGTTTTTCCGAAATCGTCCATTGAAATATCGATATTGCTTAGAAATTTAAAAAAATTCAAATTTCACACCGAAGATTTCGAACATATTTGTCGGTGACCATAAACACGCTATATTTTCGGAATCAGCGCGTAGAGATTTACATACCCGAATTTTTTGAGAATTTCTAGGCAACTTTTTGAAAAGTAAAAATTTCGACTATTGTAAATTTCGACCTATTTTTGAAATTCAAATAGACCTATTTTCTTATTGATTTCGGGCCGCAGAAGTCACTTCCGGCCTCATTTCTTCGATAACTCCAACTGTTTTTTCAGAATCACCCATTGAATTATCGAAATTTTTAAAAATTTCAAAAAATTCTAATTTCACATCGAACATTTCGAAAAAATTTGTCCGTGATTACAAACACATTATATTTTTAAATTCAGCGCATCGAGTTCTACTTCTATGAATGTTTTGAGAATTGTTGAACAACTTTTTAAAGATGAAAATTTTGACTATGTATTTATGCAAATTTCGACCGATTTTCGGGCATTTTTGGAATTTAACTGAATACATTTTCTTGTAGATTTTGGGCCGCAGAAGTCACTTCCGGGCTCATTTCTTCGATAACTTCAACTGTTTTTCCAGAATTGCCCATGGAAATAAATGTCAAAATTTTTAGAAATTTCAAAAAATTTGAATTTCATACCTATAATTTCGAAAATATTTGTCTGTGACCATAAACACGTTATACTTTTGGAATTCGGACGTAGAGATCTACATCTCTGAATTTTTTGAGAAGTACTTAATTTCTCCATTGTTCGAAGAATTTGGTAACTAATAACTATAACATTTTTACCCAATTTTTTCGCTAAAAATGGTGGATGCACAAATTAAATGACTGTTTTTCTTGATGTTTTTCAACGTTTGCCTTGAATTGTTTGTTAGTTCGTTTAAAATCTGTGTATTTAAAAATTACATTTTTTTTATAACTAACACCTTTTTATTTTTTATTTATTTTTTTGTAATCCTATTATTTAAACAGTACGACTTACGACTAACAGAAAATGAACACGACTAGATTTCTTCGAAAACTTAGTTTGTCGTTTAATAGCAACAATTTCATTTGAAAGGAAGTTTCAGCTTCGGGCAGTGATTTACTTGAAGTTAATGGCCAGCCACCTCGAATCGTGAGATTTGCTTGATTGATTTTGCCAGCTAGTGTCTTTAACTTTCTTAATTTCGCTTGATGAGCGAAGAAAAAGTTTGTTTATTTACATTCCTTTTTATCGGAGATGGGGTGCGAGATGGAGTCCATTCCGCGAGAAAAATACTTTTCGGCCCAACTGGCTTTCTTTAAAGATAGCGTTTTAACTCCACCGACATTTAAAAGTACTTCTCCTTTAATCTGATACTCAAAAGGCCGAATAATGGAAATCCGATCTTTGATAACGTATCAGAATGCTCGAGGCATAGATTTCGGATTAACTCCAAGGATTGGACGAAGTATAAATGCGTGCGTCGGAAAATTTGTTGCTACTAATAGGGCCCGGATCAAAAAGTTTGATGAATTACGTGACACGTAATGTCGCTGAGTTTTCGCCCATAAAAATACCCGTTTACTGTCGACCACAAAAACTGATTTCCCATAATTCGCAGAATGTAAACGAAACATCACAGATTTTTATTTGGTAATAAAAGGGAAAATCCCTTTCTTACCTTTCGGCAAGGTGTGGACAGGCTTCGCGGTAATGAAAATGCCCCTCCATATTTTTTCATGACCATTTTGATTTATTCCATCACATAAAAAACTTTATTACGGTCACGGTTTCTTCAGCTTTATGAATTAGTTTCTTGCTCACACTTATCTGCGACATTTACAACGGAAATAACGGCCTAATGCCGCGGAATTACTTTTTAAATAGGCGGAGGGAGAAATATTACTTCGGGCTAAATTAATTCGTGCCATCGGACGCATCGTAAAACGGGGTTCTCCACACAGAATTGCCAGAAACAAAAGTCCTAAGTACGTAAAAAATAGTTCTTCGAAACAGGTCCATTACTTAGATTAGGTCTGGACGGTCAAAAGTATAGTGAGCTGGAGCACTATCTTGTAACTTAGGCTTGTATCATGAATTGCATAGTTTTGTGTTCCAAAAAAAAGATAACAGAGATATAGATCTTGAAAAATCACTGCAGTCGTGTTAATGTACAGTTGGTTGCGTTCATAATCGCTGCAGACTCATTACTTATGAATAATCCTGTATGTCATGGATTTTATCTGTAGTAAATATTGCATACTTTGTCGCTTTAACTTTATTCTCCCCATTAAATCTAGTTGCAGCTAGATCTGGCTGTGTGCATTTCCACTAGCTTTGATGTTCTGAAACAAATAAGTTCCGGCGGAAGTCATATGCACAGATCGAAGGCTCCAAATAAAATTCAATACATTGAATAGAATATAGGTGGTGACATCATATCTCATAACTCACGGAGTGAATGCGTTTTCGCTCCTAAATCATTTACAGTCTGTTGAGCGTTCAAAACCATTGTCGTATTTTGCCTTAGACTTTACATTTTCGTTTTAAAGCACCATTAAATCAAATCGAGTATTGAGCGAAACTTTTTTTATTAAGTATCTTAATTTCTCCTAAGTTAAATTCAATTTAAATTGGAATTTATAACGCGGCGCTTTTACAGCCAAGTAACTTACATAATTATTGCTTCGACTCCTGGGGTTTACGACAGATGTTATTTGGGTTGCATATATTAATGCGGTCGTTATTCCGAGTTGATGGGTAAAAAGGGTAGTAAACAGTAATAGGTTTTTATGGCGTTTATTTTTTAAATAATTAAGTTTCCAACATATATAAATAATGTTATTACAAACAATTTCGTTACTAAGCTAACTTTACAAGAGTACTTACTAAAATACCATATTTTACATAACACTTTTTTTGTATTAAATGATGTGCATTTAGGCCAACGAAACCGACATGAAACTGTTTTGACAGAACGGAAACGGAAAATGAAACAGTCTATTAATTTCATCTATCAGCTAAGCTAGGTTTAAGCATTATCACGTTAGCTTAACACATAATTCAGTCATTTTATTATTACATCTTTTTGCAAGACATGATATGTTTTATTTTTTGTCGATTCATTTAGCACTAGAACAGTTTTGGTCACGTCACTAGAGTCTTCTTGATATTGCAGTGATATGGATTGTTCACTAGTTTTGCGATATGAGGACACTCAGTGTTGCTTCCAACTGTTGGCCTTGTAGTAGACGTCTTTGTACATACTGGGGCACTGCTTTCCCGTCTGCAAAAAATGTCAAGCGTAAGACTGTGATAAAACAACATTTTCATTTTTATAATAATTTTTACAACTAGTTGATAAAATAGATGGATAAAATAAATGCAACCGAATAATTACATTGCAAAAAGAAAAACAAAAACGTCTTAGTATCTATTGTTTCAATGTACAACATTCTACGAGATTTGTATTTGAATATTAAAGGTTTTTATAAATTTTTAAATTACTTTCGTTTAAATTATTCAAATCTGTTTAGAAAAATCTCAAGTAAATGTTTTTCGTTGCTTCAATTCAATTCAATTTCGTTGGTACGCCAGAAAAAAATAATTTTCCTTTTAAACATTAAAATTATTTTAGCCGATTATCTGACAAAATAAAACATACAGCTTGATTACGTGATTTAATAATATTGTAAAACTCGCTTTTATTTATTTGCAGATGTAGGGATTGTTATTAACAATATGTGTGTTTTTATAGACATTTCGTTATTTATGTGCAAACTAAATAGTAATTTAACAGGTGGAACGATTTTATAGCGTTCGACAATCTTTCTCATCCGAATACCCTTTTTTTTTTATCTAACTAGGTACTATAGGTAGATCTCATTAAGTTTAAGGTAAATTTGCAACAATATTTGAAGGCTTGTGGTACGTCTTCTCATCGGAACATTTTTTCTTTAACTGAGCAGTGTATCGTCTGATGAATCAGTCCCTCGAGAACGATGAACTAGATAGCACATTTGCTAAGAAATCTGTATAACACCTATGAAGGAGTTAGTATATTTGCCTGAATTTTTGCGAGGTATGCCAGAAAACTCCACGCGGATATATATGACAATTGACAGATTGGGACCACCTCTGTCAAATAGGGGATGAGATTATTGTTCAGAGGATGTGATTACTTTAAAAATTGTGTGGGGAAACCAATCCGTAGCCTTACTACCTAGTTAGATAAATGAAGAGTGTTCGGATGAGAAGACGTACCACAATTAATTTTTTTAAGTTTCTCGTAGTAATGTACAATGTCATTTCGCGAAAATTGAGCAATTTTTTTCTATTTGCCGTTTGATGGCATTTTATTGAACAAAAAAAAATAAAAAAAAATCTGGACACAATGAAATCGAAAATTTTTAAATTTGAAATATATTTTAAGATTCTTTTATAGATAGTCAAATTAAATTGTGTGTATTCATCATCTGTAAAAACTGTTTTAATTTTTTTTCAGTGTCACTATATGAACTATTGTTTAATAAATTATCAAAAAAGTGAACTAATCTTTTTTTAGAAATTCTGAAAATACGATTACTTTATTTTAGTGTCACATTGTGCATGTTAAAACTGATGTACAGGGTGAGTCACTAAACGCGCGCGCTTTTCCATATCTCCTTAAGAATTAGAAACAGAAAAAAGTCTAAGACTAATGTTCAGTGGAGGGCCATATACTAAAACTAGTTTTAACTATACAGAGTGTTCTGTTTTTAAAACGTATCATACAACTTATTTTTTTCGAACAGAATACTCTCTATATTTTTATATATTCTGATTGACTTTTTCTTAGGCTTTATAACCCTAGTATATTTTCGAAATTCCGATGCGACGTTGCCAAATTATTCCAAATTTTTTGTAATCCAAATGTTAAAAGAATATTGCATTATGGTTATTTTTAAAATCTAATTCACAATATTTGTGGAGAAATAAAAAGCTTTATTGTGGTCTGGTATAAAAAATTGGATTTTAACATACACGATGTTTATTAAAACAATTAAATTATAAATTTTTGAGTTTTTTCAAATAGAAGACCCTGTATTTTATTACTGCATCTTATTGTGTTTTGTGTTTTCTTTATTTTTTATCAATTTTCTATATTGAAAGTTGATAGTTATTGAGATTTTTTACATTTTTAAGGGACACACCGCAAAGTGAAAAAAATTGTCTAAGATTATTTCGACAGAACTTCCCTCCCCTCTGACATACAATAGTACAAATCCAACTTTTTCGAAATATTATAAAATTTGATTAAGCGAATTTTTTATGAGAACTTTTATAAATTAAAATATAAAGTAAATGTAAAGAAGCGTGCTGAGTGTATGTTCCAAATGAGTTTTCTCTTAACAGAATTTTGTGATGACATCATCATTTTGCAAAGACAGCAATATCACTTTGGACAGCTGCACTGTAATAGTAATCATAACAGTATTGTATTCCAGATTTTCGGGAAAACGGAGTGAGCCGTTCCCGATTTAAGCAATAAAATAAACTGATTCATTCATTAATTTTTATGAGTCACCCTGTATAAGAAATTTAAAAACTTTTAATGCAATGATAAATCACAAGTATAGTCTCATCATATTTTGCAGAATTTGGACAGGATTTATTTGGTAACATTTTTAGATGACGTCATTAATTCTTTGGAAGAGGATAAACGAATAAATTTTGCTTAACGATTTACCATGACTGCGATAACTTTAAAATATTTACAAGATTTCAGCGCAATCGGTTTTGCAGTTTCAAAGTTAATGTAAAATATTGTTATTCAGTTTTGAATTTTTTCCAAAAATTCTGGATTTCTAGGGTGAAAATTCTACACGGATTCATACACCCTAAGTGCAGGAGTATCTTATTTTAGTGAGTATTTAACTATCTACATGATATTCCTAATGTACATACAAAATATGACAACAATCGGTCCCGCAGTTTCGGAGATTACTTGTCTAATAAAAATGGATACAGACACATAGACAAACAGACAGACAGACAGACAGACAGACAGACAGACAGACAGACAGACAGACAGACAGACTGACAGATAGACAGACATATAGACGGAAATGGCAAACCACTTTTTTCGTACTGTAGAGGTCATGACACGTTGAGAAAACATGAAAGTAGCAATTCGGCCGATGGACTCGTGTAATATACTTCGTTAGCTTACGTTCGGGAAGTAAAAAGAGGAGAAAAGATAGAGCAAGATCCAGTGATAAAACACAGGGTGTTCTATTTGAGAGAACTAAAATATACATATTTGAAAATTGTAAAGTTTAGTATTTTATTTAAAGTTTACCATAATAAAACGCGCAATTCTGTTTAACTCTTAATAAAATATTGCAACACATATGAAAATAACCCTTGCATGCTAAAAAAATAAAAAAATTGGAATAACGTGGCAACGTCGCATGAGATTTTCAAAAATAAACTATGTTTATAAAGCGCACTCACCCTGTATATGTTACCATCAAAAAATTAATTATATCTTCTTAAGAAAATGCTAATTAATTTGTCTAATTATCTAACAATTATGTACTCGTAACACCGGATGACTATTAATTATTGAAGTGAATTATTGGCAGCAATGCTAGTTTGTCAGGTCACAGTTGTCAATTCTGACATGAGCGCGCCTAACAAACGTGCTGAGAAGATGGCATACTTGGTGCCATAAAAGTTAATTTCACAGTCAGGTGCGCCATCATAAAATTTTCAATATTTTGCCAACCTGACAAAAAAAATCACAAACATTAATTTGGTGTACTTTGCAAGCGTGGAACTTTATCTAAGGATTAAATTTTAGAATAAAAAACAAATGAATAACATTTGAAACTAGGAATATATCAAAATTCTTGATATATTTAAACAGTTCAAATCCAGCATAAGTCATATTTTTTTCGACAAAGATAATAAAATCAAGACCAAAATAAGTACATAGTAAAACCAACTAATCTAGAAATTTGTTTTACTTTTATGTCTGGAATTAAGATCTACAATTCTGGAAAAGTGCAGAAAACTATATACTGTCTAAAAAATATGGAACAATAAAGATAAAAATACAGAAATAAAATTAGAAAAGAATATAATATACCAATTAAAATATGAAAAAAACAGTAACAGCAACATACAATTTTGAATCAACAAATGTAGCACATGCAAAAAATTTGGTCCTAGGTTATTTAGACAGAACTTCCCTTGCCCCCAAAGTCAATCTAACAAATCCAGTTTCTTCAGAAAATCATAAAATTTGATTTTGCGAAATTTGTAAGTAAATAAAATAATAATACCAGTTACAATGTAAGAAAAAAAGTAGTTTGTGAGGAGATCGAACCCGCGATCACCGTGTTATTAGCAGGCGCTGTAATAAACAGGCCATGATAAGTGCCTGAATATTTTCCTCTTATATTACCATAAAACGTTAGGATGCCTAGGGTAAATACTCAAGGCGGATTCATAAACCATAAATACAGGAGTATGTTATTGCAAATACAGACAGACCACAGACGGAAACGGGAGACTTATTTTTTCATATTCTAGGGGTTATGAAACGTTGAGAAAACCCGAAAATACTTCCTTAATTTACGCTTGGGAACCTATTTAAAACTTGTTATTTTCGTCAATCAGTTGACCCTATTAAGTTAAAATTATAACGGGTTATACGGAAGAAATTATAGGATCAAAAATAAGGTATATATGTACAAATATATATTAATGGACTACTTGACCTGCTCTGATTTGACCTAGTAATCTAGCAGCGACAACAATCGCATAATAGTTACTTATCGATTGCTTTCACAGAAACTGGGTATTTAAATTAACTGAAAAGTTTAAAAAATTTATACAATCGATGTAACTTTTAATATTCCTCGTCCTTTAACTAAAACCTGCGACTAAACAACAGTAACGTCAAAATTTAAATCTACGAGAATAATTATGGCTTTGTGATCAAAATTAATAACAATCCATGCCGACAGAAATACTAATTATACACAACACGCCAATTTTCCCTTTATTGCCCTCATTTATTAACAAATCAAAACGAGACAAAGCCCGACCACCACACATCCTAAACGCTTCATTTATTAATACACCCACAATAAATTGCCACATGCATCTGTCTACCCCCCACCACCTTCACAAAAAGCGCCTATTTTCATAATTTCGCCCTCAATATAAAGCTCGACAAAAGCGCTAGTGTGAAAAGCAAAAAGTCAGCTCGTAACAATAAATAAGCACGAAACTGCA